CGTTCTTGTGATCATTTTGACCCCACGGGGTGAGATCTTGCGTGGAGCCCCAGATCGAGGGAGATTATCAGTGGTCTTGTATGTCTTCCATTTTCTAATAATTGCTCCCACAGTTGATTTCTTCACACCAAGCTGCTTACCTATTGCAGATTCAGTCTTCCCAGCCTGGTGCAGGTCTACAATTTTGTTTCTGGTGTCCTTTGACAGCTCTTTGGTCTTGGCCATAGTGGAGTTTGGAGTGTGACTGTTTGAGGTTGTGGAAAGGTGTCTTTTATACTGATAACAAGTTCAAACAGGTGCCATTAATACAGTTAACAAGTGGAGGACAGAGAGGCTCTTAAAGAAGAAGTTACAGGTCTGTGAGAGCCAGAAATCTTGTTTGTTTGTAGGTGACCAAATACTTATTTTCCACCACAATTTGCAAATAAATTCTTTAAAAATCAGACAATGTGATTTTCTGGATTTTTTTCTTCTAATTTTGTCTCTCATAGTTGAGGTATACCTAGGATGAAAATTACAGGCCTCTCATCTTTTTAAGTGGGAGAACTTGCACAATTGGTGGCTGACTAAATACTTTTTTCCCCCACTCTATGATGTTAGTCAATCTTAAAAAAATAATTTCCAAGTCTAATTTAACAATTCAAAAACGTTTTATTTGTGTCAAAATTGCAGACAAGTACTAACTCCTACAAAAAGCTCAGATCTTATGACACAATGTGCCTTTAGCTTGTATTAAGCCTGCTTCATAAAGTGTTGAACATCCTCTTCTCATCCGCCTCTCTGTTCTTGTCCCTCCCCATGTGTCCCAGTGTTTTCTGAAGCCCCTCCAGCACCCCCACAGGACATCCAGGTAGATAACTGGCTGCTGAGATGGAGTCCTGACCCTGACGACGGAGATGTCACCTACACCGCTCAATACAGCAGGTGAGCTCTGATGGTGGGGGCCTTGTGCAGCGTGCCAATCAACACCCTGCATGAGGAGCGATCAGTAAGATTCTTTGTTGTCTGTCATATCTGGACATATGTTAAGATTCAAAGGCTTTAATGTCATATGCACAATAGCCACAGTGCATTTGTTGGCAATGAGAATCTCAATTCCCAGGCACTTCCAACAGCGCAACATAAAGTAATATACATAAAAGAGGAAGTAAATGTGCAGTATAAAAGTGCAAGTGACACAATAATGCATGTAAAATGCAGGAATATTGATTATTTTTTCCTTCTGTAGAATTATACTTTTTCCATTATTATTATTATATTATTATTATTATTATATCCATTCTATTTATAGACAGATGTATTATTTGTTGTGAAACAGCTCACAGACAGTCTTTTTCTTAGTAGTTATCATGACAGTTGCATCATGACAGAACTAATGGTTTCTCCTGTTTCTTTTTCTCAGCTTTGACAGTTTTGTGTGGACAGATGTTCCATACTGTGTCCATACATCTTTAAATTCCTGCAATGTCAGTTCCATCAAAGCTAGGAGTGAGTACGGCTGCGTGATGCTGCGTGTGCAAGCAGAGAGGCATGGGCAGAACTCCCCATCAGTCCAAGCCTGTAGCAAACATGGTAAGAGCACCACCTACCATGTAAAGAGGGCGCTGTGGATCGCCATGATAGCATTGTTCACACTGGCTCAGTGGTGCGAACGAGATATGTCGATATTAAATGGTGGCCTATTTTCTATACAATTCAAATGTTGGTTAGAGGGAAATATTTTCAGTGGACATTATGAATAACAGCAGACTTTAGCATGAAGAAATCCTTTCAATTCCCAAATACAGTAAACACTGATCTCTGTCTTAATTTTGTCAACACTCAACATGTTTATTGTGCTTTTCCAGGTCACCTCTGTACTCCGGACTTTATTCTCACTGCGAGTCCTGGCTCCCTCACTGTACATTTGAGTAGGAACACCACTTTTCTTCGGGAACATGCCGACCATGCAAAGTACAGGGTTTACTATGGCAAGAAAGGAGAGGCCCTCCAGGTGAGGAACCTTGTCAGTTATGGCGCATTTCCACTACAGCGCGGTATAAGTGTGCCGTGCCGTGCCGTGCCCGGCCCGTGTTTGGTTGCGTTTCCACTCGGCGTAGTTCCGGCTAGTGGGTACTTTTTCACAGTTTTTCTGGCTCTCCAAAATCGAGGTTCTTTCCGGGCCAACAACCAGGCTGAGTATGCTAAACTAGTGAGAGAATCGCTGGCAACTACAACAAAATGAACATACTGATACCGGTTAGTAAAAACCATGAATTAATGCTTTGACAAGTCTGCAGACAGACGGCAGGCTAGAAACCTTTTAAAATGCGTGTTTTCTGAATGGAGATCGGCTAAGCTAACGCTGTATAAGCACCGACCGTCCACACTCACAGCAACGGCCTGCAGACATAAATAAACTAGCGACTGTATTCGCCATGACACAGACAGTCTGTGGTTTGTACTCGTTTAACTTTTGTCTAGTTTCTGAACAGATATGGCTGTTAGCCCTCAGAGCTGTGAGCTCTAAGGGCTAACAGCTAACGGCTCATGTTGGTTTTGTGTTTCACATTGAAGATGGCGTCACGGCTCCGCCTACACTGCGTTACTATAGTTACTGCCCCAGTTCCTAAACTGTAATGGAAACGCAGCATAAAGTGAGCCTGTCCTACCAGGGCCTAACTATACCGTACTAAGCCGTACGAGGCCCTGCAGTGGAAATGCACTATTAGACACCTGCTTTTGCTACCTGTTTCACTTTGTAGGTTATCTAAGACTGTTTTCACACTAAGCTGGTTCATTTTCGAAGTGCTGTTTAGGTGTTAACATTTTTGTGAAGATCTCCTTTTACACTAAATAAAAGGCTTAATCTCCTCTTCCTGTCGACAACAGCCAAGATGAGATCAGCATTGGGAAGGACAGACTTGCTACTGTCTCTTCCATCACCTGCCTGTGTGCTGTGTTTTTAAGCCAATTTCACTATGTATGATGATTAGTGTTTGGTAGTGGCTCATAAATGCTAACCGTGTCAACAGCTCCATTGACTAATCATGATAATTAATGATTGAATACAAGGTAGACAGTTGAAAGGAAGGAAAACAGACTGAGAACAAAGGTGTGCAGCAATGAACATGTTGACATTCTGTTTCACAGTCAAGGCTTTGAATACCTAAATTATCTTTTTCGTTTGTCAAGAAATCCATCTTATATTAGAAGGCCAAAATGCAGAACACTTTCCAATTTTATCTGGCTCAGTATGAGTCTTAACACAATTCCTCCAATTTGTATGGTTTTACTTAAGGGTAAAGCAGAGGGACTGCCTCCACATGGCGACTGCTGAGCCAGAGGACAACAGCTAACAGTGCTATCAACAGCTAACAGTGCTATCAAAAGCGTATAGTGCTTGCAGTGCTAACAACAGCAACAGTGTTTACATGAGAGGGAACCGCACGCTTGCCACTACATTTATAGACGTTTTGAGCGAACCCGCTGTTTGAGCACAGTGCAGAGCTTGCACTAACATGTGCTCACTGCGCTCAAATGTGCTAAAATGCTAAACTTACACTAACTTACACTCACATGCACTAACATGTACCACCCAAATGGACTAAGTACGGAGTGTGGCCTAACCCCTGGAAGGAAGCAGGCTCACCTCTTGTGTCGAGTTCCCTTCAGCAAGGCATTTCTCTTCATTTTGTACAGAGTCCGGCAAACGCCATAATCACTTAATATGTTTATCAATGAAAAGGAAAACAAAAATGATCATTCTATCTTGTATCGCAAATATCAGTCATAGTAGAAATAAGTCATAATAATGGCAATTATATATTTAATTACATTTGTTCATCACTAAAGGAAATATTGGCCTTGTATGTGTAAAATGCAGTGATATTATCCAAACGCTTTGCACTCTTATGCAGGATTATAAAGATGGTCCGGCCTCAGTGACCATTGATGAGCTGCAGGAGGGACAGCGGTACTGTACTAGGGTGCAGTACCTGTATTTCAAACAAACCGAGGGACTACCCACCTGTACCCAGTGTGAGCTCATCCCCGAGTCAGGTAAGGACATGGTAGTTTTTCAGCCATGCAAAGCCAGTGTTCAGGCATTAAAGAAGCACATTGGCCGCATTACTTTGGTTGGCTTCTGCAGTTTTCCCAAAAAGTTGCCCCGTTTTTATGGTTGTGCAATTTCAGATGAACATTCCTTGGCATGGAAGCTGGTATTATTTTACAGATTTTTAAATATTCCGCTGAAATTTACTCCTTTTGAGTATCATATCACTATGTTGCCCCTTTCCCACCAAAACAGTTCCAGGGTCAGTTCGGAGCTAGTGCCCGATTAACAACCGGTTCTTCCTGTTTCCACCGCAGCAGGGCCGGCTCTCATCTGGCTACTTCGGAGGGGGCACCAGCGCTGAGCAAAGTGACTAGAGCCACGCTTACAAAACACACTTCTATAAAGCCAGTCAACAATAACCAGGCATAGTGTGATGCTGTCTGTTTTTACCTTACTTTTATTGACCATCTGCTCTCTGTTATTTCCCGTCTTGAAGATCAGCACACTGTCTCATATGATTGTTGTTTTTTTATTATAACAGCGGGTGAAGTCAGTCACCCGCTGGCAGGATACACAAGTTAAATCATAAAGAAAAATAAGCCGGTAAAATGTGCCTGTAGAAAACGGCTAATGCCACAATATGATAACAACCATCAGTCAATATAGTCACATTAGCTTAGGTTGCTATGCTAACATCACATGTCTTATACCAGAGACACTTTAATAACAGTGTTGTGATTCAGCGTCAATTCAGACTGACACACATTCACTTATGGGGGGGGGGGATACTATGAATACTCTCCAGCGGACTCTGCCGTGAATTAGCGGTAGACTAAACTCTGTCGTGAGTTAATGGTAGACTAAACTCCAGTGGACGAGCAGCACTGCAGTGGTCGGTAAATGCTGCTGAACCACATTAATAAACAATGAACCACGGCACTCTTGGAGAAAATTTATTTAATCTGGCTTCGTATGATTAAAAGCAACACGATCATCGACCCGACGCAGAAATAAATCAGCAACGTGAACGGTGATGTCATGACGATGCAGCACCAGTCGGGCTCTGAGCGGTGGAAACACACCTGGGGCTAAAAATAAGAACCGGTTCGGAACCAGAAACGCCCAAGAACGGAACCAAAACTGGAACTGGTTTGATAGGAACGAGATAGAAATGAGGCTCTGAAACAGCAGTAGCACTCAAGATATTCTCCACAACATTTCTTCATCTGTGCTTGTAATTTATTGGCCTCTTCTGTCATTTTAAACGTGTGTGTGTGTGTGTGTGTGTGTGTGTGTGTGTGTGTGTGTGTGTGTGTGTGTGTGTGTGTGTGTGTTTGTTTGTGTTTGAGAGAGAGTGTGTTTGTGTGTGTGTGTGTGTGTGTGTGTGTGTGTGTGTGTGTGTGTGTGTGTGTGTGTGTGTGTGTGTGTGTGTGTGTGTGTGTGTGTGTGTGTGTGTGTGTGTGTGTGTGTGTGTGTGTGTGTGTGTGTGTGTGTGTGTGTGTGTGTGTGTGTGTGTCAGACTCCAGACGGACAGTCACCATAGTCTCTGTGGTGCTTGTGGGCGTCCTGCTCCTTGTGTTTCCTGTGATAGCGTACTTCTTCCTCTTCCAGCGTGGGAGATTCAAACGTTGGTTGCAACCTCAATACACGTTCCGAGAACACGTAAGCTTAAACACAACCCCTCAATCACACTGTACACACTGTTTCAGACAGCGAATATACAATACACACACACAGCAAATTCATTTTTCAATTGGACCGAGATTGGACTGTTATCCTAAAGGTAAAAAAGGCATCCATCAGTGGTGTCGCCTGGGCATCGAGAGAGAGAGAGAGAGAGAGAGAGAGAGAGAGAGAGAGAGAGAGAGAGAGAGAGAGAGAGAGAGAGAGA